GCCCCGGGGCCGTGACTCAGCCCGGCCTGACGCACTCATCACACGGGTGGCTGCGCGGCGCGGGCACGGTGTGTCCTCCCCGGTGACACCGGGGGCAGGAATGGCGGCGCTGATGCGGGCCGGGGTCACCGGGGCCTCGTGACCCTCTGCCTCACCAGTGAAATGAGTTTCGGGGAGGCTCAGCCTGCCCTCCGGCCCTTTCCCTCCTAGTTTTCTCTGGGTGCTCCTGGGGACTAACACCCATGGGTGCCCCCAGGCTGGCACATGCTGTGCCGTGCCCCTTGCCAGCAGCCTGGAAGCACAGGGTGAGCTGCAGCCGTGTCCCTCGCTGCTGCTCCTGGGCTCACCCAGAGCACCCCACGCTGTTCCCCACCAGGGATGGACAAGGGGGGTCCCTGTGTTGTCCCCCCCCAGACCACCCCCCTCTGGAGCCAGACTCGGTGCTCAGGCTCTTGCTTTCCCAAACTGTGCTCTGAGAGGGGTGACGTGGCCCTTCTGCAGGTGGGGAAACTGAGGCACAGGAGGGTTGCCCTGCCAGGATCGTGGTCAGGTGAGGAAGGCTCAGGGCCGTGACTCACCCCACAGCCCCACAGCTTCCCAGGGTGCCGCTGTCCCTCTGTATTCCCCCACCATTTCCCTCCCCCTGCTTTGGTGGGTGCAGCCTGGGGGAGCTGATGGCTGCAGGCAGATTTCACCCTCTCCCCACTGGGCTGGCTTGTTCCCCCACCCCGAGGGCCAGGGCCTCATCCTGCCCCCACTGAACCAGCCCCATCACCCCCCCTGCTCAGCCCCGGGCTCCAAGCTGAGACCTGCCAGCTCATTGCAGGTGTGGCTGGGGAGACCCGGTGGGGCAGGCTGGGTGGTCCTTTTCTGTGTGTGTCCCCCCCCAGCCCGGCTGCAGGGTGGGGGCCATGGTTTGGGACACCCAGCTCAACCCCATGTGTGGGGGGGTGGGGGTATTGCCCCCACCGAGGGCCTGCCTGGTCCTGTGGGACCCCCCACACTACATTGGGAGGGGGCACCCACTCCCACAGCCCCGAGGATGGCTCCAGCCTGCGACACTGTGGGTGGGAGAAGGGCTGGGACGGGTCCCCAGCTGTCCTGGTGACCTCGGCTGTCACACTCCCACCACAGTCCCTCTGTGCCTCAGTTTCCCCCTGCAGTCAAAGCCCAAAGGGAGGGCGCAGGGCATGTTCCCCAAGACATGAGGCAACCTGGGACAGCCACCACGTCCCCAGCCAGATGGGACGGTCACTGTGTCCCCAAGCAGGCTGGACACCGTGTCCCAGCCGGACAGGATCGCCTTCCCGGCTGAGTCCCGGCTCCCTCCCAGCAGCCCCGTGCTGGCCACGGGGCTGGCACAGATCCCGGCCCTCGGCAGGTCCCCGCGTCCCGGTGGGACGGGGTGTCCCCGGCCACGTGGCTCGGCCAGGGCAGAATCGGGACCGTCACCCCGGGCTGACACCGGTGCACAGAGCGTGGTGCCCAGGGATGTCACGTGTGCATGCGTGCGTGTACATGCGTGTGCGCGCGTGTGAACTGGGGTGGGTGCAGCGGGGGCGAGCGCGGGTGAGCTCAGGTCAGGGCCTGCTCCGACGCGCCAATGCCGGGACGCTCGGAGCAGGGCTGGCAGCTCCCGTGCCGCACCAGGCCCCGGCACGCACACGCGTGTGCACATGCATGCGCACACATATACACACATGTGCACACCTCTGTGCACAGGCAGGTGGCTCCTGCCCCCCAGGAGGGGACCTGGGGAGCACCCGGGGGGGGTCGCCACTGCCCACAGAGGGGGGACGCCGCACCCCACCATGCCGGGACGGTGGCACAGGGAGGGCGGCCGCTGCACCCGCAGTTCGCTGCCTCAGTTTCCCCTTCATCATCCCTCTCTCCCTGTCCCCAAATCCAGGCACCCACTTGGTGGGGGTGGGGGCTGTATGTGGCAGAAGAACCCAGGAGTCTGGGCACCCATCTCTGGGGGGGGGGGTGTCCTTTAAGAGCACAGGTGCCCACAGTTTGTGGGGCAGGCAGGTGTGGAGATGGTTTATCTGTGCAGGTGGGGTCACACACACCCCCCCCGGGGCTGCAGGAGGAAGAGGCCAGTCAGAGCAGCCCCCCAGCCCCATGGGTATCTGCAGCGCCGAGCACTGTGTGAGTCCTGGCTCCTGGGGGGACTTGAGGGGGTCTGGGCCCCAGCGGGGCTCAGCCCGCGGGCAGTCCTGGTTCCCACGGCCGGGGGGGGGCCGGAGGGAGCTGCGGTTTGGCAGGGGGTTGGTCCCAAAACGCCAGGTCAGCCCCCAGGCTGTGCCTCAGTTTCCCTCGGACATCAGGGCCATGCATGGGGTCCCGACCGCGGGTGGTTTTTTTGTGGAATGACCCTTTTTTGGAGAAAGGGGGTGAGGGGGCTGTGCATGGGTAGGAAATGCCCCAGCCCTGCCCTGAGGCCCCCCCCCCCCCGCAGAACCCCGGGGGGAAGCTGGGAGCGGGGCCGGTGCCAAGCACAGCCCGGGGGGGCCCCTCCCCGAAACCAGCCCGGGAGCCGCTGATCCCGCTCCCCGTGGGAACGGCTCCGGCAGAGCAGAGGAAGGCAGACACCCGTGACTTCAGACATTTTATTGCAAATAATTATTATTTTCGTAAATCGGTATAAGAATAGACTCTGGAATAGATTCAGATCAGGGTCTCCAAGTGGCTTGAGTGCAAAAACCGACACTGGCAGCGCAGGTCCATCGCTGCAGATAATTTATCCCTCTGCAAAAGCAGTTCATTTGCAAAAATCCGTCCCTCTGCAGACCTCGCCTCCGCCGAGTCACAGATGCCAAAAAGAAAACAAAACAGTCTCCATCTCCGCCCTGCAGCGCCCGTCCTGGGGCTCCTCGGTCCCACGGTCCCCGAGGCCAAGCACAACTCCTCGGCACGGCTCCGGTGCGCTCCGGCCAGCGTCCCACCGGGCTGCCGGCACGGCACGGCCGCGGCTCGCCTCCTTCCCATGCCCACCGGTGCGGCCGGGCTGCTCCTTTCTCCTCTCCGGTTAAAAAGAAAAATAAAATCGGTGGGTGTTTGGGTTTGTGTTTTTTAACTGGCCATTTCTCCTTCTTTCTGTTGTTTTAGTTTTTTTTTTTTTTCCCCTCCTCCTTCAGATACAGAGCCGGGCATCAGCCGGAACCGGCTCAGCGTTCCTGCAGACAGACGTATGGCACCCACTGGTTCTTGTCGCGACTCTCGGCGCAGTAACTGGCCACCTCTGCCAACCCTTGGCTCTTCCAGGCGTCCGTGTGCGGGTTCTGGGAAGCAAAAACACAAGGTTAGTGCCGCCGTCGCCCCAAACACGTGGCCCTGAGTGTTTGCGTCCCCCTTCCCGTCCTTGGCGCGATGCCCGGCGTGAATCACGGGGCTTGCCAGTGCATCACCGTCCCACTCACCGTGACTAAGAGACAGTGGAGATCGCGGGGCTCGGTGCCCGGCGCGGGTTCGCCCAGGATGGCGGCCAGGCGTTGCATGCCCGAAACGCGCAGTATGTGGATGTCGTTGTCGCAGCAGAAGGCCTGGATGAGGGTGAAGTGGATCTGCAGGGCGATGTCACCTTCGTCCTCCTCATCGGTGGCCAACAAGCACAGCACCACGCTGTCGGGGTCCCTGCAGGCACATGGGGCGTTTAGGGGGGGACCGGACCAGCTCTGGATGGTGCAAACCCCCCCCACCCCGGTACTGTCACACCCGTGGGACACTGACACCCCATGTCACTGGGGCCACCTCCCTGCGTGCACGGAAGGAACGGGGGACAGACCCCCCACCCACAGCACTGCGGCTGCTCCAGGCAGCCCCCCCCCCCAAACTCTTTGCTAACTCCACTCCTGGCCAAACACCCCCCCCTTCCCCATGCAAACTCTGCTGTCCGGACTCCCCCGGCACTGACATCTTGCCTTACACCCACCCTACTCGGACAGACCCCCCCCCGGGATACTCACACATTCATCAGCTTGGCGGACTCGTAGACCCCCACCGTCAGCCGGTCCTGCCGCTGCGCTGCCACCAGCACCCGCTCCACCGCCTCGCTCACCGCCTGCATCCTACGGGAGGGAGGGAGCGTAAGAGAACCGGTAAGCAACAGCAACGACAAGAACGACCCCCCCCCCCCACACCCCCTCGACCCGGGGCCGCCGCACTTACTTGCTGCTATCGCAAGGCACCAGCTCCTCCAGGGTCATGGTGCAATTGTAATCCGGGGCGGGAGCCCAGGGGCCGCGGGTTCCGCGGGAGAAGAAGACAAATCCCAAGTGAGATAATCCCGAGAGCGGTGCTGTCGCGGTGCTGTCGCGGTGCTGTCGCGGTGCTGTCGCGGTGCTGTCGCGGTGCTCGATCCCTTCCAGCCGCAGCTGCAGCGCGATCGCTCTGAGCCCCCGGCGCGCCCGGCGTCGCCTTTTATAGGCTCCCGCCACGGGGCGGGGCGTCACGCGGCGCCCCCTCTTCACTTATTGGTTGATCCGGCACAAAAGGACGGGCGGGCGCTGCGGGGATTGGACGCCGCCGGCGGGTCCCACGTGGGGATGAGCGGGTGAGGGGGGGAACCCCCGCCCC